TGTTACGTAACAATGGAAGTGTTAAGAGAAAGCAACGTGCAATACGCAGATGCAGTTTTTTTTCGTTTTTGCGGGAAATCGAACATATTTTTAGATCCATCTAAAAGTTCTCTAATTAGTCTGGAAACAAGGGGACCCAATTCTTGCATTCTGTGAAAACGGGTAAGGTTGACTGTAACGTAATAATCTTTATCTTAGTTATCGTTACTTTTGCCCGAGCAACGCCGGGTCCACCTGCTAGTTTACAATAATTTTTTATGAAATAAATGTATATTCATTTTTATCTGGTGTTTATGTTATAAGCGACAATATTGGTAAATTTTAGTATGAATTATTGATATACATTTTCCTATTTTATAAACTTATTTGCTACTTTTATAATCTTTTTATTTTAAATAATTAAAGTTTTTCCATAACTTGTAATGCTTTTTAAAATCACACTTGCTTATTTTTTAATGTAATGACATGATAATGATAAGTTGTATATAAGTTGTATAGCCAAAGATTGAAAAATATATAAATTTACATTTAAATACGCTCTCAAATTTAATATATTTATATTTATTTTGTAATTTAGTTAGAGTGGGAGAAAAGAATAATATCCATGTGTAAGTTTCAATAAAGATCAAATTATTTAATTTTTAAAAGTTTTATTTATTCAATGGCAATCATTACATTGAAAATTCTGATCATTCTGTGATATCTAATTATTTTATACAAGATACATTGATTGATATTTTGATTAACTGAATACAATTTATTCAGTCAGAGATTAATATTAATGACAGCAACTCTTTTCTCCACCTTCACAGGACATTTTAATATCGCAGCATTCGCAATCCTTTCCACACGAAGCGTTAATATTACAATCACAGCTTCCGTCCTCCTTCTTCTTACAAGAGACTTTGACATTGCACTTTTTGTTGCCTTCTTTTCCGCAATTTATTTCTACTTCACACTCGTCGTTTTTCTTGCAATTGACGACTACGTCACATTTTTCGCATCTTTTTCCATTTTTACCGCAGGATATATTGACTTTGCAGTTACCGCAAGATATTTTGGTACCGCATTTGGAAGCATTCTTATCACAAGATAACAATACGTCGCAGCATCCACGATGTTTATCTCCTATAGACGAACTGTAATCTCCGCAAGTGATGGCAGCTGTACATCCTTCTTCGTGACACTTGCTATTGGGATCACATAAAACAGTGAGAGTGCAAGAACCATCGGGACATGTAAGTTTTTGAACGTTGGTAGAAGCCATAATTAGAGTTTAAAAATGACTATAAACTGAACTACGATGCTATCATTTGAAAAAAATAATTAAACTTCAAGTAACTTTTAAAAAATATTTAAATTATAAAATAGAAGTACTTACCTAATTATATTATTTGTAAATGAAGAGAATGATAATTTTAGGAGATGCAATTTATATTACATATTTATCACATTTAGAGTGCCTTGTGCAAAATTTAATCTTTAAAGATAAAAAATAGAACCGTGTGAAAAACATTATATTGCTATTAGTCTAAAATTATTATCCAATAGAATTTTATCATTTTATTTGATAATTGATAATCACATATGAGTGGACAGTTAATTTATATATTTTTTACATAGCATAATATTATACTATATAAATATGCATATATAATACTTTAATATGAGGTATATAATATATATTTAAAGTAATTAGCATTAAAATGGAATAAAAACATTACAGTATTTTGAGAAACGAAAAACTTTTATATTTTCTGAATATTGTTTTCCATGATATTAAATGTTTAATTAACTACAATTTAATAAGCCGTGATTGCTTAATATCTCAGGAAAGATAAAACACACACAAGTAGATAATAACTAGATAATAAGTTTAAATTTCGAATCATTATGTTTTGCGTCATAATCGTGAATTTCAAGGTATTTCTTACTGAGAATTGATCTAAGAAAAACAATAGTTTGAGATTACAAATCCTATTGACAAAAATTATAAAATTAAATTTAAGAATGGGCTTAAAAAGTTTGAGAAAGTTTTAAAGTTACGTTATTTCAGTTTTAAATGTAAATTCTCATAAAACGATTGACTGGAAGGTCAGTAGCGCATTATCCTATGGGCAAAAAGGAAAATTGTTTGAGATCCCACCAACAGGAAGCCCAGAACTAATCTTTTATAAGAAAATATTTCCCTAAAAATATTTACCGAAGAAAAATGTCTGAAGCCAATACTATACACGGGACCTCTAATTCAAGTTTGTTACGCTCCATGAAGCTATAACGCGCAACTGTAGAAGGTTGTGATAAATTTCGTGGTTGTTATATTGGATTGGGATTCTAATAAATCCTATTTATTATAATTTATTGCGCGTAGTTTCAGTTGAATACCATAGTTGTTGACTCACGGGTACATATTGATTAATTCTCTCCGTTTATTAAATAAAGATGAAATAACTCTGAATGAATTGGCTATCATAAACACGATTTGTATTTGTAATCTTGGTGGGATGTCTTCTTTCCTGTTTTTACCTTCGTTTGATGCCCAGTATTCAATAATTGATTTGAACTCATAAAATTTATTCCCAGTTTGTTCATTCCATGTTGACTGCTAAAGATTTTAATGTTTTTGCCTAACTAAAGGCATTATATTAACGTATGGAAAGAGGAGAATTTAATATTTATTTTTGTCTTTTTTAAACCAAATCTGCTGGTCTTTTATTTTTCAATTCAGTTTATTTTCTTCGATTTGGTTTAAAATTAAAAATTTAATTTATTTTTTTCTGTATGTTTTTCTACTCTTTTTTTATAATACGTTTTTATTGTATCAAAAAACTGTTTATTCATGTTTCATGACCCGCAATGTTACCAACCGTAAGATAAATATCAATGTGTACCGTAATTTGCAACCCGATTCCAATAACAAATTTGAGCGTAGCATAAGCGATAATTGTAGCATTATTTTGCCATCTTAGTATGTTTTTTTTTTATTTTGGTACAAAAAATTTTGATTAAAACGCAGCGTGCAAGCTTTCTTGCTAACGACTCAAATTGACAAATCGCCGAAACACGTCTTGCAAAATAATGACTCGGCTGATTCGAACTGTGAGGGGATCGGAGGGAACAATTTCAAAACGAAATAACGCTTATAAGATGATGTACCATTACCGTCTCCATTGCCGTCTGGGCTGCCGAGCGGTAACAATCAACGACATGTGAGGTCGATGCCTCGTTTACAAACAACACAACCCGTTTATTACACAATTAACTTAAAAAAGTACTATAGTCACGAAGGGTTAAAGTCCTTGTAGATTCAGCGCGTAGTCTTCAAAAAAAGAAGTGGAAAGTCCGGCGACGAAGGTGGTTCCCATTGCTGACCGGATGTTGCATTCTAAGTCCAGTTCTCGAACAGGAAACGATGTCCGGGAAGGCAGATCGGAATTTCTGAAGTTTCTCTCAACAAAGATCTATAACTCTCGGAGGATACATCGGCAAAGGACGATGATAGAAACACCCCAGCGAGGGACATGGCCTTGCGAGACACCACGGCAAAGAACGAAGTGTCCTTGTGACCTAGATTTAAATAGCATGTGGCCTCGCAAATCGTTAATTTATTGGTTATTGATCCCCTTTCTTGATCCTGATTGGTCATTCTCTGTTACCAAATGAAATTGGACCAGATCGATTCCAGAGAAAGACGATTGTTTATTAATACAATTCGACATCGTCTTTGGTTTGGTGTTGAACGAACCTTGTACCTTAACTAATATTTCCTGTTTTGTTCGTCTTGTCTTATAAAGAATTTAATTTACTAATTTTTCTCCTTTTTACCGAATGGTTTTAATATTAAAAGAATTTCATTTTTTGTCCTTTTCTTTTATAATTTAGTTCCCTTAATTTTAATTAATCGCGAAGATCAAGATTCATTTTTGTATGGATCTATGGTTAAAAGAATGTTTTTCATCCCAGCCCAAGCCTCACAGAACTTCGTTCTGTGAGGCTTGGGCTGTCATGACGGTGTCCTGCTGGGTGTCATGACGGTGGTCAAACTTTAAAGTTCGACCTAGAAGGGAGATTTCGGGGGGTCTAAGGTCATTCCCATGTTAAGTCAATAGAAAACTTTTTCATTCTAAATATCCTTAACAAACGAGCGCGTGCTGCATGGCATTCAAAATACGACAAAGCTCTTGTCAAATTTTTTTAACACACATCCATCTCTTTCCCTATTTTACTCGAAAAATCGAGCCTACATATCTTAATTTAACGTATTATTTATACCTTGCACAAAAATTTCTTTAAAAAAAAGAATTAATAACAACACTACCTTGATTTCGGATTCCCATTGTGAGTCCATGGGAAAAATTCCAATTGAGTTCTATTAATTTTTTTTTTTGTTTTTTTTGTTTTTGTTAAATACAGGAATATTCTAAACTATATTAAAAGTGGCATGTATAAATGTATACCCTACCGCATCGACCGTTTATTATGTAAGATAAGGAAGTTTCGGAACAAAGGTAAGAATTGAATGCTTTGTAAGTGCAGAGTGACGAGTCGCTTTAATTATAGTTTTGTTTGCTTACAGATGAAAGGACTCGTGCTATTTCATTACTTCTTTCCTTTTGTCAAAATATAAGCAATAGTACGATCTAGACCAACTAATTACTCTTGTCTCTTCGATTTATTTTTTATTTTTTGTAAGTAATAATGAATTGAATAAAACTAATTTTGTAATTGCACTAATATTTTTGATATATTGTAGGTATTATTTTAATTTAATTTACACGAGGGAGTTATTTTTCATTGCTTTTAAAATGGTTTATTTTTTGATTTAATGACGTAAAATTTGGTTTATTTTAGTCTTTTTTAACCCCCTAGCTGGTTTATATTGAAGAAACAGAGATGATAACACTGGTAATAATCAGTGTCAGTGGTTTTGTACACTTAGCCCATAGAATTAAATATTCAAAATTATAATGAAAAACAAATTTCAAACTTGGAATTTAAACTTTAATCTCACAGAAGTTAAAGTGATAAAGTACGTTTTTATCTAATCATCTGTTATTGGATGGTTGTAACCAATTATCGATCTAAAAATATTGCTATTTTATTGGACGATAATTTGCAAACTCATAATACAGTGATAATTTTTCGCACGACTCTATTCAGATAATGCACGTGTGCGTCGATTTTGATAACAGGTCAACAATAGAGAATGTTACGACATAAGTAGATGTTTCCTCGCAAAATTTTTGGTTTAGAACATTTTTTGAAAACACTATCATTAGAAAAGTGCAGCTTTGGCTTAAAATTTATCAATATCATTCTCTTTTTGCTAATATTTATACAATAATTAATATAATTATTAAATATCTTGTTTAGAAAATCCAGCAACGAGTTACAAAATTTTCCCGGCTTCACCACGAAAGTTTGCAACATGCTCTTTTGTTGGACTCCATTCGCCGAAATGTTATGCCGCTTCAAGTTTTTCCCCACCTTTTTTGGAGAAGATTTCCTAGGACACGTTTCATTATTATTATTATTACTATCAATAGATATCCCCGTCAAGTATGACTGAATGCTTTTTTGAGAAAGTATAAATTGAAGGATAAAAAATCTAACTTGATTGACAAGAAAAAAGGACTAATCTGGAAAGAAGACAAATCCAGTTTATATTCTGGAACAGTTTTGGCTAAATATGTAAATATTGACTTAAGTGATCGAATAAAGGACAGATATTCTGCGAGAATTTATTATATTCTTAATATACAATATCTTATTTAATTACTGTTTTTAGTGGTTTTATAGTAATACTGCTGATGAGAGGCATGTTAGCCCGAAACAATTTAAATGTACAGAAAAAATTACTACTACAGGCAGGGGTTCGTTTCCACTATGGAAGGTATGGAAGACTCCATACCTCAGAATATTGAAAAAATTATTTATAATTTAATGCAAGGCACTTCCTCTCTGTATGAAAACAAAGTTTTTCCTTGAATGTTGACCAATCGAACTCTTACATAATTCAGTGTCAAAAATTTTTTAACTCTAAGCAATACATCACCAAATTCCAAACCTCAACTTTTAAAGAACGGACACCCATGACTACAGGTGATATAATAAAGAAAATTTGTTTTTTTCTGAACTAACTTCCATTATTGTGTCAATTTTGTAATTAAACACCAGTGTAAAGTCCTATTAATCAGTGGCGTGCCGTCCTTGGAAGCGGTGGAAGCGCCGCTTCCCTTATATTTTCTAAAATATAAAGACATATTGCGCGATTATTTTCATATTTTAACGTACAATACTTTGAATTAATTAAAATTAATATTTTATTATAACCGCATTATGTATCTTATTACAAATTTCTATACTACAAGTGAAAAAAACGATAAGATTGCTATTGTATATTCGAATATCAGTGGCGGAATGGAAGCGCTGTATTGTCGAATAACGGACAGCTTCCAAGCAGCTAGATTATATGCATTTTACAGAGCACTAACCTCACGCGGTTTAGCTGGTGGAAGCCAAGGTCCTAGATTATACCTTGGGTGGAAGCTACACACCAAAATATCGTATAACGCTTCCAATGATTCTATCCAGGAACGGTTCTGGGATGTTAGACCAAGCTTCATTGTGAGCTAAATTCATCCATCTGCGTAAAATCATACGTTCCATTGCTTTACTGATGTGGGAGGTCAAAGCAATTGGACGATAATTAGATATCTCAGAAGGGCTTTCTAATTTGCTCTTTACCTTCACGCCATCTATTGAATGTTTTAGTCGATAAGATTTTTAAAAATCTTTTTTTCTTTCCCTCAACAGCTTAAATTAATGACGACTTCACTTGTTGTTAGCATTTACAATGTTTTATAAAACTTCTCTATATCCTCAAAATTAAGTCTTATACTATTTTATAATCATTAAAAATATATAGTTTTTACAACAAAATATGGTAACAGATGGCGCCACATACAATTTTAGTTATTTATTTTGATTAACATAATTTTTATCATCGGCAATGAAAGAAATTCGTATAATAAAACACAATACTTAAAAATATAAGAAAGTTTTGGCCTTACTTTTTGGAACTTTCTGGATATTTTCTTTAATATTTTCGATATGCAGTCGGTTGAATCTATAAATGTAAAACTTACATTCAATGAGTTTTCGATAACTGAACAAACGTTTTATAAACTTTCTTTTTACGTGCCAAGAGACAATTAGAAATTAATCTAAAGATGAGCAACTTTCGATAAATATCAAATTTTTAAACAGTTAATATAAAATTTAATAAGTTTTATTAAATATAAAAATTAATATGCAATCATGAAAATTCCATGTACAAATTTATTTGCTGAAGTAATTATAATTCTGCTTTTGACATATCGACTGCAATGTGTGTTTTTGCTTAAAGTTCAATGTGGAAATGGTTTCCTCCCGTAGTGCATTATTCTGTGGTGAAATATTTTACTAGTAGAACGCCGGTCGAAATGCTATAAGTTGCTTTGGCCAGTTATTTAAACAACAGCCTAACACAGTCTTTTATCAAACACGAGAACACTACTTAATGTTTTGTTGTCTCTTTAACCGAAGTGCAAGAATGAATCTCGAATGGTGTTGAAGTATTTGTCTGTAAATTGGGATGGAAAGTCAAGTCCAGTTGATTCAGTCGTAGCCGGGTGAGAGGTTAATTCCAGGTAAAAGTATCATATTCGGGTGAAAGGTCACTTCCGTGTGGCTGTGTCACATTCGGTAGAAAGTCGAAATCCGTGCAAGAAGGTCATGGCAGAAAACAGGTTATGTTTTCCAGCAGAAAAACAACCTTTTCCACCAAGGCCTTTTACGTTCGACAGATTTTTCCACCATTTCTTCGGACACCTTTCTGTCCAGTACCGTCACACCGTCTCCCCACCGTCCATTCCGGAATCTCGGGGTATCGCTACTTCAAGATAACAGGGAAAACATTTTATTAATTAATAAGACACTTGAGATTATAGGCTAGTAAAACAAAACAAGTTTCTTTCTCCAGCAAAATTCTGAAGAAAAACTGCATTATGTATTACGCTGCAGATTTTCTACGCAAAAATCGGAACGGAGTTTAAGTTCTTGTAACATTGTTTTTTATATGCAATGTCGGCTCGATGCTTTCATCTGGAACGAAACCGATTTTTACCGCCCCTGCTTCCAGAATGGTCGTAAATAGAGAGCATTTCTAGCACTGGCACTCTTGTAGGAACTATTTATAAATAACTTTAATAACCGAATACAATAATTGTGCATTTATTTTTATTCACTTTTTCTTTTTTAAAACCGATTATTTTCTGTTCTTTCATTTACCATTCTTCTCGTCACATATATACAGGGTCACCTAGCGCGATGGGTGGTCCTGGATGTATTTGACGCGATCTACTGAAGGGGTGAGCGAAAAGTTCTAAATTTCGATCTATAAAAATCTCCACTCGTGCCCATTCGATTCACGAGATTTCAATTGTATGTACTATGATAACTGAATTTCTTACTTAATCGCCAATTTGCCATCCGATGGATTTCAATTTATCTTCCTAATTTGTTGCTTTGATGCAGTAGTAATATTTAGGGCAACTGATTAGCATTGATGATGGCTATTGCCAAATGCAAAATACTTCATAGCTTTCTTTATTAACTGCTGCTATTATTTGCTTTTATAGAGCTTTAGCGTTTATCAGGAATTTTTAGCACACAAAGGAAATATAAAGATTTATGTACTTTGCACATTCAAACTCTAATTTATGTTTATTAATTGGTGTTGTACAGTACAATGCATTTTGTAAAGGATGGGCAATTTGGTTTTTTATCCATCCTGGTATTGTTGTTCCTTCTTACATTATTGCATTTCAATAAAACGAATCATGTGATTTCATTTAATCGGCAGATCTGAATAAGAACGGATAGAGCTGTACAGTAATTTGAATGAAGACAACTTAAAGTATGCAATTCATTATTATTTTTTCGGTTCATGTCATAATAGACGTACAGATTTTCATTTACTTGATAGAATGTTTTTAAATGTCAATTTAGGAAAATTACAATATAAACTAATATACGAGTACTTCAAGATTATTTCAATTATTATTGACATGAATTAAATTTAATGATAATGGATGTTATCAATCATCAATTATTCAATATGAAAAATTTTACACACTATGCGATCGAGTAAATGGCATTCGTTTATTGATTAACTTATGTGAACCATAAAAATTTTCGTATTGAACTTTTTTTTTTAGTTCTTCAGTCTTTCTGCTCTGTGAGCACTAAGAGGACCTTTTCCATGCAAATCATGGATTCCATCAAGCTCATAATGTCATGGCTTCATGGTAAAGGGCACGATCTGAAAAATCTAGGTCAGATTATCCTGGAAAAGTTTTGAAGCTCCTGACCTGGTTTCAAAGCTGGGTCCTGCTGACAATATCTTTGCCATTTTAGTCATCTAGCATCGATGAATGCTATCACTAATAATCCTCACAACTTATCATCATTAATGATTTTATGTAAACAACTCTTAATCTTTCTTTTCTTTTTTCTTAGGCAAAATGAAATTTTACCAGAGGAATGATAATAATTCTGATTTTGAATCATCTTCAGAACATTCAGCACACATAACAGAAAATTATGGGGAGTGTAAAATAGTAGACATTATAAGTTTCCGACAAAACGATGATAAAAATGATTCACAATCTACATTATTTTGTACTGCCGTTTTATCAAAACCGTTTAGCTCCCTTACCAGTCTCAGTATGAATTACTTAAAAAATTATTGTATAGAACAGATATCAGATGAGAAAAAAGGCAGCATTACTAAGCATTTGCAGCAACTGGAAAATTTAAGTTATGATCCAAACAAGAGCAAGAGTTTAAATCAGAATAATGACATTGATTTTGATTCTACATCTCATTCACAAAATGAATATATTTTAAATAAAGAAATGTCACCTTTAAAACATATATCTGATAACAACAAAATGCTAACTGAAACAGAAGAATCAGAAATTGGGGCATTGCAATCAGAATCTGAAATTTGGGACATTGTAAATTCAGTATTAAAAGAGATATACAAGAGAAATGAAAAGACTTTTTCTGATAGCAATACATTAGAACAGACTGAATATGAAACTTTTGAATCACAATACACTTCAACTCTAATGGAATCCTGTTTGACAAATTTCATTAATAAATTTATTAAACTGGATAAAAATGTAAGAAAAACGCTAAAGAAAATAATTACTAATATTTTAATTACTTATTTTACTCAGTCAGATGATTTAATTGTGGAATCTATTACCAAAACAATTGTAAACAATGCAAAACTTTTACAAGGAAATCAATCACATCATCAGAATAATAAGTCATATATCAATACTTTATTCAATGACAACCACAAAACAAATCCTGAAATGGGTTTCATTCATAAACTCCTTTTTGAAATGGTAATTCAAACATATGAAATTTTGGAAAATGTAGATGAAATCTGGACAAATACATTAGTAAACTCTTCTGATACAAAGAATTTATCTTCATTTTCTGGTCCAAAAAATCCTATGAATTTAAAGAATAAAGATGAACATCCCCCATATACTTTAATCCCTAAGGAAGATGATGATAGCTGCCATTTTCCCATTATCTACCTCAAAAGTAAAAACAGCACTATTAGAGATGATACTTGGAAATCTTCGAGTTTAATGTCCAATGCATTCTCTAATAGATCTCACAAAATTAGCTCAGAAAAAAATGATTCTTTAATAAGAAAATCAAACTTAACACAGAAGAAACATTATAAGAAGATAACTGCTAGTGAATTATTACAAGATACTGATTGCAAGATTAAAAAACTCCCAAGAATTAAACACATTTCTCCAAAAGTAAAATCAGCAAAAATTAATACAAAAGTACTGTCAAAATGCTCAGAAAAGCATTTTGCTAAATAACCTAGGCATGAAACTGGGCCAAATAATTACTACACATTCTTATCCAAGAAAAATGTACAGAATTATAACTGTTATTAGAAATAATTTAAATTTTAAATAATAAATATTTCAACCTTTTTTGTATATTTTTTAAATTCAAATATATTACACAGTAACTAATATGATAGTTTATTAGTAGTTAAGATTATCTGATACAAAATATTGTCTTTAAAGATGAAAATTAATAAAAAATTATAAATACTAATTATCTTGTGATTTATATCAGAAATTTTAAATTTTATTCTCTAATGGGAATTTTACTCTACAGAAAAACAATTTCCCGAAATTGTTTTAATACTTTAATTTGTATATATTACATCAATGTATAAAAACAAAATTCAGTAACTAAAAGCTAATGAATGTAAAGATATTTGAAAATATTAAAAATATACATTGTTTATGAATTTTCAAGATAATTAAATAAGAAATTATTAAACTATAAATAATAGTTTGTTTAAAAAATGCTTAAAAAAATAACCATTACTCTACTATTTCAATGTCCTCACTATGTTCAGGTGCACTTGCAATAACTTCTGCCATTTGTATGACAGTTTTTCCATCAAGATTTTCTATAACATGTATCGTGCGAGATGAGTTGCCATTCTTTTCTAAGTCTGATAAATTCAAATATACATATGGTGGGACTTCTGAAGAAGCAGAAACATCTTCAATATTATGTACTTCTAACACCACTGAATGAACCTCACTGGGTATCATTTCTTTAGTTGTATCATCTTTATTATCAGGATTAGGTATATAGACTACCATAGGAACTGTAGTTGCCTGGATATCATTACTTTCTGAGCTTTTCATTAACTCTGTTGAAGCTTCTTTATTATTTTCATTGTCACTATTATCAACAACAGTCTTATCTTCTAAATTTGTTTTGTCTAAAATGGAATGTGAAGCAATTTCTTTATTTTCTTCGCATCCCTCTTCTTGCAGAACAGCTTCAGACAATTCTATGCTTTCATAACGAACCATTTGAAGCCTAAAAAACCCATCATCATCACGAACATATCTGAAAAAGAGATTAATATAAATTTACTATTTATAATAATCTTTTATAGCAATATTGCAATTATTTAAATATAATAAATAAAATAAAAGCTATGAAAATTACTGCATAATAAGTTTTCTTTTTCTTACTTTTGAACAACAGTTATCATGAAATGAATTTATTTTTTACCTGAAACGACAATGTCCTGATGGCCAATGAAAGTGATGGTTAGACATCAAATGCTTGGTCAAATAATTTCCTCGACTGAATGTTTTTTCACAAATATGACATTTATAAACTTTAGCTGAACCATTCTAAAAAGAATTAGAAAAGTAAAATATTGAAAGTTATCAAAAACAAATCTATTTTATTAAGAAATTATAAAATTAACATCATATTCTTCAAAACTTATATCATCAAACAAACAAAAAATCATTCTATACATAAAAATAAATGTTGAGAAAATTTTTAGTTCTTAAAAACTGTCATAATTTTTATTTCAGATTTATTAATTTATTACTTTCAAACGTAATGAATAATCATTATATGTTTGTACTCATAATTAGTATTATGAGTAGAATGCATAACTTATAAAGATTTTAAATTCTACTTTGGATAAACATCATACTAAAATATTAAATTTCAGTACACTCATGTTTGTGAAAATTGCAACACCATGAAGGAATTGTCAGAAATTAAAGAAATTTATTCCACATTTATTCCAGTAATATTTACAAATTTACAAGACAAAAAAACAAAAAGAACGTCGGAAATCAGTACTTTGTGTGTCCTCCACAATGAGCCTGAACACGTCGTGGCATTGAATCATACAGATTCTGAATGTAATCCTGGGGAATGGCATTCCAGATGGCTTCGACTTGACTCCAAAGTTCAGTCTTATTCTGTGTCCCACCAGCTGTATGAGCGAGTTGCCAACCAATGAAATCCCAGATATGCTCAATGGGCAACATCCAGGGAATAAGCAGGCCAAGGAATGAGCAAAACCTATTGTGCACTGAAGAAGGCTTATGCAGTCTGAGAAATATGTGCACGGGCATTATCCTGCTGAAATACAACACCTGGAATGCATTGAAGAAAGGGGAGGACCTCTGGCTCCACAATTTCCCATATGTAACGATCACTGTTGAGGTTGCCCGTAATCTGCACTAGATGGGATCAACAATTATACCCAATAGCTCCCCACACCATGATGCCAAGCGTTTATACGATATGACGATGGATAACACATTGTGAGAGCAGACGTTCCCTTCTGTAACGTCTCATGTGTACTCTTCCATCATTGTACTGCAGATTGTAGCGAGATTTGTCGAAAAAACTTATTGCCAATGGGCACGCCACGCACTGTGTTGCTGAGCCCATTGAAGTCGAAGGTGTCTGTGAATCAGTGAGTGGAGAATCCTGCGTAGAGGAACCCTTGCACGCAGTTCATGCTGCAGCAGACAGTGATGAACCGTGGAGCTAGACAACAAAACACCTGTAGCTGTGCTCCAACGTTGTGCTACATACGAGAGGATGCTGTACAGTCCATCACAGCCATGTGGATTAGATGTCTGTCATCCTGTACCATTGTGCTATTGCTTGCCCCACTGCCAGGTTTTCGCTTTATTTGGTTCTTCTCTGTCCATTTCTTCCAAACACGCATCACTGTTGTGGCATTACACTGTGTGTGAGCTGCAATTTCTCGATACAAAAATCCACCCTCTTGCATACCAATGATGCGGCCTTGTACGAACTCTGTTAGTTGTTGGTATAGCTTCCTCAGCTTTTGATGAGGCATATTGACCACCAACGAAACATTTACCACAGACAGAGGAAGATAAATGGATTTTAATGCATCTTTACAGTCCTTTATATACCTGGAACAAGTGGCTGATAAGGAGCTGGTTTTTGTTCCACGCATGTGCAATCGCTTTGTAATTCTATTCATTTGCACGTCTTATCTCACTTTATATTTCCTGTAAGTTTGGTTCAATTTGCACAATTCCTTCATGGTGTTGCAATTTTCACAAACATGAGTGTAATAAATAATGTACAGTAGGGTCTTGTTTTATACAGGACTGACTTATGCAAATTTGTACTTTGTGATTAACCAATAGTTAGGTTAATCCACTCCTAGTGCCACTGAATTTGACTCTTAAGTCAGCAAACCATGCTTTTACAGTTTCTGACATTGGCCATGTTTTTTTTATGCAGTGCTCAAGAAGCACTTTACAGCAAACACTCTGAAACCAGTTTGTAAATGCAGCACTGCAATGTAGCAAACTGTTTCTAAATGTTTGTTGCAAGAGGTGGCTGCGGGAAAGATAAAGTAGCTTTTATGTCCGCTACATGTGTAAAGCAAAATGGACTCTTGTGTGTATAATACAATATTATGCTGTAAAAATAAAAAAGTCAAAGTGATGTTGATAAAAATATTATGGAAAGATTAAGGAGAATTAATTTTCTAAAATGACTCTGAAAGTCATAGTATTTTCCTTCCTATTCTTTATATATCTTAAACATAATTATTATTTTGAGATTTCTAAATTTAAAATTTTTTAATCAAACTGCTTTCTTTCAATTAAATAAATCATTATTAACTTCTCAACATAAAAACAAATAAGAAATTCATTAAATATCATATCTTAATACTGATATCACATAAAACTTACTGTGATCATCATTAAATGTCTGATTAGTATACCATTAAGTCGTAACGTTACTACATATTTTATCAGATAAGCTTTTTGAAAACATTATTGAGGAAAATAATAACTTTAAGACAAAAATATTATTTTATAAGAGATTTTTCTATATATTTTACTACAACAAAGTATATAGTTTTATTANAGTGAATTATAATAATAATAATAATAATAATAATAATGATATGCATATGAATACCTGATGTTTTCCACTAACATGTCTATTTAGGCAAGCACGAGTTCTTGTAGAATAATCACAATTCTCAATAGGACATTTAAAGGATGGTTCATTATTATGAGTTTCCAGATGTTTATATAAATCACTTTCATATTTACATCTAAAAAAACAAATATAAAGAAAACTTAACAAATATTCATAAATAATGCTAAATACATATAACTAATACCTTATCCTTGCCGAGAAATATAATTTATTTCAAACAAACGTTTTCAGCCTGATTCACAGGACATCTTCAGGTTGAGAACCAAATTTGAATTAAAGGATTCCATCAATGGAATACAAAATTCAAAATTCAAAATTAAATAAGCAACAGAATAAAATAAAATAAAAAATAAAAAATTAAATAATAAATAACCAACAGAGTAACATAAAATAAAAATATAAAAATGTACATAGAAGTATTAAGAAATACAATTACTAACACATCCAATAAAATTATTATTTTGACTGGTTAGAGGTCTTATTAAATTTCTTAACTATAAACTTCCATGCAGAGGGAAGACTTTCTGCATCCCTCGCATTTAAACAGCTTTCCTGTATTTTACTCCTATAAATCTGCAACTTTTCAGCTGTCAACACCAAAGATGGGAAAGATAAATTATATTTCTCGGCAAGGATAAGGTGTTAGTTATATGTATAGTGATTTGCTGAGTACTTTATGATATTAATGCTAAATAATTTAATCAGTTAAAAATTTAATTGATTTAGCATGTCATGAAAAAAATTCATTTATAATAATTCCATAATATTTTTTCTAAAATAATTAATTTTATAAAATATTTCAAATTAATTAATTCTTTCAATTAAAAATATTAATATCTTAAAAATGTTTAAGTTGTAATAATTATTTGAATTTTTCTAAAACAATTACTAAAAAATAAATATTTTATTTTTAAGAATTTATAATTATATTTTTTATATTTAAGAAAAAAAATATTTTATTTTTCTATTTAAAATTTATCACAAATTCAAATATATGTATGTAGTATCTTGTTGATAAAACAAATTTTAAAAGTGAAAACAATGACAAATTGATGTTTTTGCCTTTATAAAAAAAAAATCTGATCTATTTCTATAATTTAATCAAAATTCAGATTTCTTCTTACAAAAAGAGATTTGAATTTTGGTTAAAATATAGCTAAAATTTACCTTTATCTTTAGCATACAATATACACAGAAAAAGTTATGACCCAAATAAAATTGTCCGATTAAGATAAGTGCACACTTAAGCAGATGAGCAAAAGGAAGAAAAAATCCACCTGTTTTATGTACAAAATTCACCAATTTTAAGTTATGGATGTGTTTACGTTAGGTATGCAAGCAGACAGAGAAGATAAAATATGTCTTATATTCTCAAAAAGAAAACATTTTTGTCTGACTGCTTCAAACTGACACAGTCACTAACCCAGGTGCACAGCTGTAAAAACTTCTTGGCACTCCACTCATGAACAGAAATCACTTTTTTAGGAGGAACACTTTCTTTTCATTTCTTTTATCATGACAGATGTAGCTTTAATTTCCGTAGTGCAAAACTACAAAGAATTACATACTTTACAGCATCCTCATTTGAATACCTTCACATCTTTTCAACAGTTCCAGCAAAAAAATTAGGTTTTAATATGATTCATTACAAATGTCTTCAGCCATTTTACATTTGTCCTTTCTCAGACATTAGCAAATGAATAGAAAAAAAAATTAGAACTAATGAACTTTTCAAATGCATATAAAACTTCTAAACAAATACAAAATTTGAGTATTCAAAATGTGTTCTAGATCTACATACTTCAAATTCAAATACAAATTAAATCCATAAAATATCAGAAATGAATAAAATAACAAAACTTAAACATATACACAACAGGAAAGATGACTACATCAAGCCATAGAAATTTTCATGTGTCAATATGATTTCTGTCTCACATTACCTGGACAATATGTATATTTCCAGAGCCTCTAATACCTTTAACTCTGCTAAATGATAGATCTATCAGATAAGTAACCTGACATAAATGTAAATATGCTCTCAGTCCTCTTGGCAACATAGTTATCCAGGCAGCTTAATTAGGTCTCATTGACAAATATTACTACAAAAGAAAAAAAGTGTACAGCATCAGCAATAGCAATCTAAGAGGACAGAGAAATCAAAAATAGTTTGTTATAACAAAATTTAAAGTCTATACAAGGAAATAGCTAGGTCTGCAGGTGCCAAGATCACGCACAGAAGAAACTCCACGCTTTCAAGATTATTGAGAAATGATAAGAACCACTTGGATATATTATACAACCTGAGGATTTATAAAGTACTACTTAAGATGTCCAATTTGCATATGATCTCAAATGCATTGGCTCTGCATCATGGTCATTGTAAGAGAGGGTGAGAGAACGAGAACATAATCACAAAGACCAACCAGGAATTGCATTGGCTACATAAGCATTAAAATTTGTCATGTTACAAGAGGAAGCATGTTTACATTTATTTCATGTTACTTATCTGACAGATAAATACATTTAGCAGAGTTAAAGGTATTTGAGACTCTGAAAATATACAAATTATTCATAAGGGAGGGGTGAGTATATCAATGCAAAAGAGTGGAATCCATATCTGACACATGGAAAATTTTCCACGACTTGATACAGTCATCTATCCTATTGTGTAATTTTTGTTATTTTTAATGTTTAAACATGATTCATTTCTAATATTTCATGGAATTTCACACTCAGCTACAATTTAAGTTACTCAGTAATCTCCATCAAGGCACACTTCCTTGGCCTGCCTGGTCTTCATATTTATTGCTCATCAAGAATTTTCGGGAACAAATGAGATGTCGGCTTTAGCCACCTACAAATGCAATATTCACGGACAAATCTGTTTCAAGTTGAATAGTTTAAAAAACTCTTTAGTACAAAGTATTAAAGGTTCCATTAAATTGTGCTATTGTTTCATAGGAAATTGACCCTTTGCTATGATATTGAAATCACTTATAACCATCATCATCTAATAAAGTTTCATTCAATTCTAATGAATAAAATTTTATTAGTGCCTAATTTTCTTGTTAATCAGTGTATTTAAAAAATATTAAATTGTAATTTCAAAACAAAGTCTTTTATGTGAAGCTGGCCCCTATTTAGGTGTTACTAATGTGAAGAAAACCTGGAAAACTCCACATGACCAGCCCATTGGCCATGCTATTATCTACAACCAATCTATAACCTGGTTTTATGCATTCGGTTACTGGAGGGCACTTATTAGAATTAAGAAAGTATCATTCCGAAATAAAAAACTTGAATTGTTAGATGTGGAAAATTAAATACTTAAACTTATGATTTAATAATGTCACAGTAATGATATAGCACATATATTTCACATGACATCATTGTTGCAGTAATCAAGTGAATATTTTTTAAAATTATATCCTTTTTTGTAAGAATTATGTTTAGTTTATTTATTTTCTTAATTTTTTTACCAATAGATGGTGCTAGATGAAAAGCCAGCAAATCAAATGTAGACAGAAATTAATTTATATATAAAAATCCAATCAATATTTTGGGCTGGGGTGTATGGTATTATCTAAGTTAGAAGTATGTGAATGTAACTGCTGAGTTTTGTATCAATTGGTTAAATGACCTAGGTATGCATAGTGAACAAATAAACAAATAAACATTTTCATTTATATTACAGATTAATTATGTAAATAAAATCAACTACTTAGAGAAGTGCAGAAGACTTAATAAAACTATTTTCAAATTAATTTTTTATGAATGAGAGATGGTATGGATTGACTTTTCAATGTTCTAGGTCAATGGTATTCAAAGATTTTAACAGTGTGACCCCAAGGTAATTTTCCGCAACCCCATTTGGGGTAATGACCCATAGAGTGAATAGAACTGTTCTAGGTTACTAATTATTCCTGTTAAAATAAAGTCAAATCATATATAACTGTAACTTACCTATATTCACAATATTGACAGGAATAATTTTTCTCGGTTGAATGACGGTATGTAATGTGACTATGTAAAGATGATGGATTTGGACAAGTCATAGCACAATAAGGACATTTATAATGGCTAACTGCAAAAATTGTTTACATCTTTTCATAAATTAATTATTGTAAATTATATTTAAAATTTTTAAAGTATATTTAAACAAACATAACAAAATTTTTCTAGATTTTAACTTAGAAATAAATGCCATAAGAACCTAAAAATGAAACTGTAAATAATATGACTATTTTACATAAACTTTTTTTAATAATCAATAAGTCAATGATAATCTATTAACAAGAAAAATAAAAATTATATATTTAGCTTAACTATATTAAAGAATAAATTACTTATATACAAAAGTTTAATTTAACATTAAATTTAAATAATTTACATTATTATTTTTATAAAATTAAAGTGTTACATACCATGATGTCTCATATGATCTCTGAGAAGTCGCTCAGAAGCAAATTTACGATAACAATATCCACATTCAAATGCAAAATTCTGAACTTCATTATCTAAACTCCAAAAATTTTTTTTCAAATTAAAATAATATAATAAAAAGATTTAAAGATTTTTAATAATTTTTCTTTAAAAAAATATATAAGAAGAATTTATAAAGTAACTAAACAGTGATAAAGAAATTAAATTTGAACCATTAATAGCTGCTTGTCGAATAATATGATCTTGAAATTTTGTACGTGAAGCAAACATTCCACCACAAACTGGGCATGCCATTAGTTTTTCTTGTGTGTGACTTCGAAGATGATCTCTCAGTTTATTAACACCACCAAAAGAACCTTTGCAATCTAAAATTTATATGGCAACATTTAGCTAGTAAAGCAGATAAAATAAAATTTAAATTTTTTAAGTGTTTTAGTCTATTATCAGTATTATTATTAAAATTTCATCTGGTTTGAAAAAATTAAAGTTATTTCCAAATTTACTTTAAATAAATTAATACATGTATTACCTTGCCAATGGCATTTTAGTACAGATCTGTAACTAGGTTTGTTACAATCATCAGCATGTGTATCAACATGTCGATAAAATACTTCTGGACTATCAAATACTTCCTGAAATTCATTATAAAAAAATTTGATTAAAATTAAATTCCAAAATATTATATATTAGAATTGTTAAAAATAGAACAACCAGATTAGATGACCAGGAAACAGAAATAGAAAATGTATCTATTTAATAATTACCCAAAACGAATATTAGATAACTGGTTAAAAACTTTTTCTGTTAACTCTAAGAATAAAATAGCTGAATGTAATATGAAATATGCAAGTGTAATGTATGTACAAGGTATTTTTGAAGAAATTAAAAAATTGATTAAACTTTATAATATTATAGTAACACTTAGAAATGACAATATGCTATTAACTACAATTAAACAACCTGAAGATACAATTGATATTTTGCAAAAAAACTGCAGTTGTCTATACTTTTAATTGCAATTTTGACTCTTGTTATACTTATGTAGGATAAACCGGAATAACTTTGGCTACTAGAATATCAGAACACATAAGATCAATATTAGGATCATTATTTATTTTGTATTGGAATCTTACACTTTACACTTGTCAACATAATATATTTTGTTGCAGATACCAATATATTTTTATGTATGGCTGATGAGGGTCCTGTGTACCAAAATGCAATTCAGTAGCAGTATGATAAGTCTCTGTTATCTCTACTGTTGTATTTGAGATATTATTTTCAACAATTTTTCAATACAACAAGAACTTTTATGATATTGAAAATTAAACATTTTTTATTTGATATTAAACTGATAAAATTACAAAAGTAATGAAAATATAAGTAATTCTATGTAAATAAAAAATTATTTTATTAAATTTATTTACTTTTTATAAATAATCTGATTTTTTTTTAATTTTAACGACAAATAAAATTGATTTTAATATATTATTAAATTGATTGATATTTTTAAATGTATGTTTTGGCATTTTCATTCGCTAGAGGTCGCATTGGATGTTTAGAAAAGTAAGAGCATGGAGTTTTGTTTGAAATCGACATTAGGCTTTCGATTCCTTTTATTTAGAAGACTTGTGAATCAAACGTGGAAAGAACGATTTAAAGCAAATTTATGCAGTACTGTCCAAAGTTCTGAAGGTGGGATTTTATCAAAAATTACTCTTAAATTTGAATTTAAGATTTAATTCGTTCTTCTGTAGTATTGCATTAATTGTAGGGTAGAAGTTGCTTTTGGTCAATTATTTTTACTGTATTTTATATATATAAATGGGTAGCTCAAAGATCAAAAGAACTCAATAAGTGGAAAAAACATCAGGATACATTATGGCTTAACATAAAACAGCCACAAGAAATTGCACATCTTGGCTGCTTACAGAGCCAGGACAAGAAAAGTGATTGGTTCAGATGTAAAACATTATTTACAGAACACAGGCATTAGACAGAAATGAAATAGAATGAACTAAAATTAACTTAAAAAAAAGGAATAATAAAATTGACATGAAGAACAAACAACGAATTGTTGGTTCAAAGACACACAGGAAAACTCCAGAATCAAATTTCATTCATCATTGAAATATTTACACTTGTTTAAATTTCATGCCATGACAGCAGGTGAGTGGTGATGTAGTAACTCATGTAGTTGATAACAACAGTTATCCAGTTACTGCCCAAAGATGATATTTGGAATCAGTCTGGAAGATTGATGCTGACAACTGTTAATGAGGATGCTGTTGAAGGACTCCACGAGTAATAGATTTGGTACTATTTCTTTGGCACTTGGGAGGATGTTCTCAATGTTTACACTATCACAGGTCCGTATATATAGTTGGATGTGATGACTCATTCCTTTCCAATAATGGTTACAGCTGATTTTTTTGTTTATTTGAGCATAACTGAGATGGATGCAGAGTATTGGGTCACATTGGTAATCTTTCAAGATGGATCATTTTAATTAAAGACTGTGAGATAACAAGGTATTAAGTTGATCCAATTAGATTTTCTGATAAAGTATTCAGTTTAGTTACAGGTTTACCTGTCACCAACTTCTGTCGTATGTTAAGTCTTCCCTTTCTCAGTCTTTTTTTTTTTTTTCAGGTTGACTGTCCAAAAAAGTATCAATTTTTTTATCATTGATATTTGATATGTAATTAATTTTGAAGGAAAATATGTGAAGAATAAGCTCTTACTGGTATTAGTGACAATTTTTTGTCACTAACATCAGTAGATAATTCTTCATTTGATTCATTACAGAATTCAGATATGTGAACTTCACTTTCTTCAGAATTACTGAAATAGTCAATACCATTGATATCAAAAAATTCTCTCATTTTTTTCATCATTGATATCCATTCAACAATTTATAAAATTATAATTTCTCACAAACTAATTTGTTTGAAAGAAAAACTATCAGAAATAAATTATAGTGATGCATATATAAACATCTCAAAGCCCAATGATTATATTAAAGCCAAATGATTACTGAATTAAATCAGGTTATATTACCACTACTGATAATTATTAATAGCGGTAATGTAACCCAATATAATTGGCATTCATTTGGCTGTAATTACAGAGATGCTTTTAGATTCCAAAACAAAACTAAATTCATGTTTGAGAACTTAAATTGTGCCATGGATTACTTCTTTTTCTGGTCACTGTATTTGAAAGCTTGAAGTTATGTGATATGTAATGATGTCATTTTTATTTTGAGTTTATAATTTATTATATATATTTGTATTTCATAATCCAAGGGCATGCTCATAAAGTTAAACATATTAAATCATTATTAATGAGGTAGTCATAGATTTTTTTGCAGTGTACATGCTTTGCTTTTGATATTTTAAATAAAACTCTAACAAAATTTACAGTGGAAAGAGTTAGTTGGCGTCGTGAAGAAAACTGCATCCAGCAATATTGATATTTTTAAATTCATTCAAATGTACAAATTAAGGATTAAATGTGAAATGACACAAATAAGTGCCATGTGAAGTTATCTGAGAAAACATTTTAGATGCAACTACACTAACAACATTTACAACTTTAGCTTTGGAAACAGCCATTTTGTTGTAAATGACTCAATTAAAATGTTCAGCAATATTAAGAACAATGTTAATGCCATTATTGCTTAAATTTCAAGGAAAAATGTATTAAAAAAAATGGTTATAGGCAGAAAAGTTTTTACAGTAATAATTTGAATAAAATAAAAAATGAATAATAACTTGATATATTAATGTTTTCTTGTGCAATTTAAATAAAGGGTGATAAACACTAAGTGACATGTATCTTTGTTTTCGAAGTATAATTTTTTTATAATAAATTATGACTATATTTATTTGTAAAAAAAAAAAACTAGTATCTTAGTATGAGAGTGTAACATACTGTATTGCAGATACATGAATAATTTATTACATTTTCAAGAGACTTAAAATCTACAAATTCAGTTGCATTTCATATCATTTTCTAGGTGCAAAGGAAGAACAGAATATCAATATTGAACAATTATTTTTGGATCAAAGAGTTCAAAGTATCTTGGAGAAAGTAACCGGTTTAGATATGGCAAAGATTTTTCGCCCTCATAAATGTCCTTTATCGACACCAAGATATCAGTTTTTAACAGACAAACAACTACAAGATGTAAGTTATAATTTGGTTATATATACAGTATCTTTAATTATGAAATGAATGTAATTTTTGTATTTTATATCTTACATAATTTAGTCAAAAAACTGTTTGTAAATATAGTACTATTTACATACATATTTGTAAATACAGGTAAATAGTACCATATTTGGATGCATTGGATATTAACACATCGACCATGTTTATATGTTAATATTTGTTTTTGGCTGATTTTATTTTGAAAGAGTTAACTAACAACTATTTTTAAACATTTAGTTAGATTAGTTTTGATTAGATTTAAGTGCTGACTTAATAAGTGGAAATACATCTTTTTATAATTTTTTTATAGATGCATTATATTATTCTGTTTTATTTGAATCTTTTCCTTTTTTTTTACAATAAAGTAAAATGGAAAAAATTCAAAAGTATTTCTTACTTGAATTTATATTAATAGTAATGTAAAGATATTTCTATTTGTACTTCATTAATGTCATGATATGCTTTGTGTACTAAATAATATTATAAAAGAAATATTTTAAATTGTTTTTTCCTAATCAGTACAAGGTTCAATATGATAACAATGTTCTTAATGAATAAATAAATTAAATTCTAGGAAAAACTTTAATTTTAACGCAAATTTTTTAAGCATGTCCATCAAAAGTGAACATCAAACTTAAGGTAAGAGTTGTGGATTCAATTCCATCTTTCTTTTTTTCAAATGGTGTACAAGTATTACATCTGTGTGTTGTTAAAGAAGCCATTTCCATTAATTTTCCAAGCAGTATTACATTTCTAATTATTGATACTTGATAATATTTTATATTAAACATAAAATAAATTTAACTGAATCCAATATTTGACTCAATTCAAGAATTTTTTCAACATCACTAAATTTTGAACATACAATACTTTTTGCTTCCCAGATATTCTTTTAAAACTGTATATTTACTCTGATAGTTACAATGGTGTGAAATCAGCTGACAAAATCTTCATTATTTTTAAAGAAATAAAAATAATGATTTCTTTCTATTTATTATTGCATTAACAACAAAAGAAACCAACTTTATAACTTGTTATCCGATAGCATGTAAATTGGTCTTTTCTCAATGTCTATAATTTAAATTCTTTTATTGGGCTGCAATTTGAAAAAATTATAGACATATAAATTCCCACTGTTATCAGCCTGTCTGTCTTTCCATAAACTTGAAAATGGCATTAGATAGATGAAATCTGAGACCTGATATGGAAGCATTTGGGGCAGGAGGCCCCAATTAACTGTATAGAAACTCCAATGCAAACTACAAGTCACATTATTTCAATTCAAAACTTTTCTATTGAAAGTAGTTAATAGATGACCTGTACAATTTTATAGCTAAAGAAAAAGTATGATGTACAGAGGCAAGCCACTATTATTTTCAGGTGGAGAGCATATGTTTTAAATTAAATTAAAAATATGATTCCTGGGAAATCCTGCAGATTACTTAAAAATTTTGTTTTTACTTATTTTGTGTTAAGTTGGGGAAATTTTGCTAATAGAAAGTATAATTAACTCATAAATTGTCAGACTACATTTGTATTTATTAATATTAAGCTTGCTTATTATTATTATTATTAATTTTTTTTTTTAATTTTTGCTTGTTACAGCCCAACACAGATTGTAAATAATCAAAATATATATTTGTTGCAGGACTGTAAAAATTCTTTACTTATCAGAATCTGTAATATCTTGCATAATTGTGCTGATACTGTCTTAATTTGACATTATGCTCAGTAGTTCCAGTAACTGCATTATGCCATCTTGTGCAAATTGTGCAAGTATATAAACAACTCCATAAACCAGATTATTAATTAAAGTGAAACAAACTGCCAAATTTTATCAGGTTATAATAAGGCCAATTAAATGATTAGATACAAATTAATTTGTCTAGAGGTAGGCAGTTAAGCCATCTTATGCTAATTTTAATTTAGACTTTCTGGAAGAAAATTGGTCTGAAGCAGGACTTTGAACCCACTCCAAGGCTTTTCTGGTTTGTTTGGTTTTTTTTAATCGGTTTTCAATGAAAATTCAAACAAAAACTGAAATAAATGAATGAGTTATGCCAAGTGTTGATTATTACGCTGCATTGCGGTTTTGAAAAACTAATATAAAGATACAACATGGTTTTGAAATATGAAAAAAATTCAAACAGTTTTTTATTTATGGAAATTTCCATGTAATTTCCAGAAGTAATTTTTTAATACATATTTTACACAGCAGTATTATATTTTCTTTTCCTATCATTGAAGTTGCAGAACTTATTAAATTACTTTAAAAAATGGGAAATAATTATATCATTCCTTTCCAGGATATTTTATTTTTAAGAAATTCCAAATTTTTTAAATTGTATTTTGTGATTGAGGATTCCAGTAAATTCCAGGACATAGATCACTTTTTCTTGAAATCCTGGGATAAGCAAAAGACTGAGAAATGAGAAATCCTATTTAGCAGAGAATTTATCTTTTTAATTATAACAACATAAATAACTTTTGATATTTTTCATTAAAGTAAGATTTTTATAATGCTGTAGCTGGTTAAAATTATATGTATAATCATATATAATCTGTATTATATTTTATAATATAAAAATAATTTATTGTCCAATATTATCATCACCTATATCAAATATTAAATTTGTCTTATGATTTCACAACTATTCTTTCCAGTTAATGGATGATGCGAAAAAAAGAGCTAAAGAAAAACTTCAAATGCCACCAGTCATGAAAGAGAGAGAGCCTATTACAACTGTCATTTCATATGATCCTGAAATTCAAGGCTATACTGACTGTAAATATGTTTTTACTGATATCACTTACGGAATATCAGATAGGGTATGTTCAGAAAGTTTTTTATCAAATACAATATTAATTTAAAATATCTAATTAGCTTTTATGCCATATTTCTATTCAGAAAAGAATCATAGTTACAAGACATCCAGATGGAAAACTTTGCCATTCTTCATGGGAAGAGAGACATTGGATGAATCAGATTTATTTTCCTGTACCTGAGCGTACTTTAGAAATGCCAAAAATGTTTGAAGAGGAACATTTACAGGTATTTTAATACATTGATGTTTCAGGAGTTTGAGAATATCGGTGCTGCTCAAGGATATTTGGGGACCAAGGCATATGCCCTTGTAGTTTTTTCAGAGAATGTTAGTCAACTATCTTAGGTAAAATTAGATAACTAAAGAAATTCTAATTGAAATCATGCAATTGGCTTTATTATATTTATTTCTACGTTAAAGTAACAAAACTGATTGCTTTGATTTTAATGGAATGTTGCAGTACTATAAACACACTCCTGTGATGTTAGTTGACATAGATTTTTTGTAGTTTTCTTCTTTATAATGATTTTAATGACTTAATAGTTTGTATTTTCTATTTATTAATCTTAGAAATTTATTGAAAGTTTATTTTTCTTTTTTTTTCACCTTTATGCTTTAATCATTTAAAATTATATCCTTTGTCAAAAATTTTTTATTAATAAAAATACCATTAATTTTTTCAAATATTTGTGAGGCTCTGGACAGGTCCGAACCCTCAGTAAAATTTGCGTTAAAATAATTTTGTTTTAAAGAAAAAATATAGTAGTTAGAAATAGATTTTTTTATATGAAAATGCGACGCTAACTTTTAAACAATAGAAGAATGTAAGTCCGTTGACCATTTCCGGTTGGAGATTGAATTAAACTTCGATTTTTACCTCTCCCGCTCTCCCGAAAGGTTTTGAATTGTCATAAGGTGACAAGGAGAGACCAATCGGAAAGGGGAAGCGGAGGAAAATGGATAAAACCCCGGACATTCAAGGACGCGATGGCTTCTTCTCCCAAAAGTTCCAAGTGACAGATCTATTGTGTGTGTGTCTTGCACTCATCTTCATTTCCATCTCCCGACCTCGGATCAATAACTGCCCATCAACAGAAGTCAACCGCGCTGTCTAGAGTTGTCGAGACGTGATGGAATTGTTCATTTGCAAACATGGGACACTCCTTTAAAATGGGACTATCTTGGAAAGGAGAGGAAGACCCAGAGACCACAGCCGCCGCAGAACTTCCAAGATCACGGAAATCTTGTAAGCTTCTTTCGTGTTTAATAAACAGGTTGTGTTGTTGTAAACAAGGCATCTATCTCTGACTCAACTGCTTCCACTGCTTCCACATGTTGTTGATTGTTACCGCTCGCAGTTCAGACGGCAAGGGAGACAATGATGATATATATCACATATCATTTGTTGAGTTTTTTGAAATTTCTCTTTCCCCCTCGGCCCCCACATATTTATACAAGGAGAAAATATTATAAATCATTCATTTTTAATACAGTAGAGCGTCGATTTTCCGAAAGTCAATCATCCGAAACATCAATCATCCGAAAGAATTCCAGTCGGCAAATTTAAATTTTCGCCAGTGCTGTGGCACTTCAATCTTTGGCTACGTCTTGGGCTACTCAAATATTTTACGTTTTTCATACTAAATCAACATCTGAAGTATAATTTTTTATTATTTTTATATTTTTCAATATATTTATTTTGTTTGTACAAAATAAAAAAATAATTTTTAACGATACAATAGTCTTTGTTAGGCTTAACATCGACGAAAATTCAATGCAAAGCGACACACAATGGAGAAATATTTCGACATCGGTTACATTAAACTATTTTTTCGTACGTAAATCAGTTATCCGAAATATCAGTTATCCGGACAACCCCAGTCCCCAATTGATTCGGAAAATCAACGCTCTACTGTACTTTCTGACTGGGAGATAAGCTCTTGCAAGTGCCCATGCAGACTGGGGTTTTTTTTTTCTATTTTCAAAAAATTATGATAAAGAATTATATTCATCATGATATTTTCAGATTTGATACTTTGAGTTTTATTAAGATGAAACAATTAACAGAATAATCCAGTGGTGTGCAGTGACATTTGATGATATGGAAGCTATGCTGGCCCTGGATAGAATCATTGGAAGTGTTATACAACATTTTGGTGTGTAGCATCCATGAGTTAAACCATGTGAGGTTGGCACTCTGTAAAACACATGTGCAAATGTGTAGTATCTGGCTGCTTTATACCATTCAAATATTTCGCCGTGGAAGCTGCCCCATATTTGACAATATGGTGCTTCCATTGAGAATATGCATATATGAATTTATATTTGAATATAGAATAGCAATCTTATCATTTTTTTTTTCACATGTAGTATAGAAATTTGTAATAAAATACATAATGCAGTTATAATAAAATATTAATTTTAAGTATGTTAAAGTATGAAAATAATTGCACAATATGCATTTATATTTTAGAAAATACAAGGGAAGTGGCACTTCCACAGCTTGTATGGATGGCATGCCACTGGAATAATCATTTTCAATCAATCAATATTTTATTATATGAACCTTAGTTTGTTACAAGGGAGTAATGGAAACAAAAATTAGTATTTAATATTTAGTAGATAATATTTAACAAGTTAATAATTTAGTACAAAATAACACAAAATAACATATACAGGTATACCTCGAGTTACGTCGTTCTCGATTATATGTTGTTTGTCAAAAAATGTATGGAAAAATAAAAATCAAGTTTAAGTCATTTTATTCGACTTTATGTCCATCTGCCACAAATATTGAAGTTGTAATATCACTATAAAAGCGTTAAAGTACATAAAATCATATTAAAATCTATACATTTACAGTAATGTAATGTATAGATTTATGTTAATGTTAATATGTTAATATAATCATCATTAATCCTAGAGAACGAAACATGAAAACGTCTGTTTTTCTGTGTTGTCATCTTATTTAGTGGTCTTTTAAGTGCTCAATATTGGTAGCTCCATGGTAGCTCCAATGTGTTCCGTTTAGTGCCATTGTCAGCACCACTCGATATTGGTAAATTTAACATAAATTAGTTTATTTTTTACTGTTGCAAGATAATTTTAATAACTGTATTTGTTATTTAACCTTACAAAATCATCTTATTTTATAATGTCTTAGAGCAAACCACATTCACAAATAAAGAGTCCGCGATGTACTGAAAACATCGCCAAATTGTAAACATGCACATTTACAAGTATGTACTGTATATACATGAATTTGTAAATTTAGATTACTTTTTTCTGTACTATATTAAAAACTAAAATTTATTTGTTTGTAAGTATAAAATAGATGGTTAATGAGAATTAACCATACATTATTAAAAATGCATTTATAAATAAAATACAGAACTGGGGATGGTTATGTTATTTGTGGTTTAGCCTAGTGACAAGTGAATTTGGAGACAAGTAAATTCAATTTATATCGTTTTTTGACTTAAGTCGCCTTTCCTGGAACCAATTACTGATGTAAGGCAAGATATACCTGTAGAGTAATAATGAGTTTTTGAAAAGCATGATAGAATAATCATTTTAAAAAAGTGTATAAAAAATTAGAATAAAATGTCTTTTTCTATTTTTGGCATTTATTTTGGGGCTGTCACATGTTTTTAGGGATGATTCAAATAATAACTAATTCTTGTTGAAAGAGTTCAAAGCACTTCTCAAAATTATGAATTGTCAGAGTTCATAATTTTGTTTACATCAACAGAGCTTAAATATAATTTATTTATTTATTTATTTTTTGGTTTTTAACATTGTAACTATTTCTGTCCTGAGGTTATCATTTATTAAATCTAAAGCTTTGACAACTGATAACTTTCTGCATGCAGTCATTTTACAAAACATGAAAATAAAGAACAATGTATACCACTGAATAGTGGAAATGATAGCTTTTTCATTAAACATACTCTGCATTGACTATAGACAAGTCTAACATGTCAAACTGTAAAACTTCATCTTTGAAAGGAAAACTGGCTTGACAAACACGTCTCAACCATAAACCTGTGTATGTACTGTACAGTATATATACTTACAGTTTTACATGTTATTTTATGAATACTGTATATGTATATAATATATGACATTTCATATAATATACTTTATATATATTAAAGTCTATGCAGCAAAAAAGTAAATGAGTCTGCTTTCATCCTTTATCTGACATAGATTCCGGAAGGGTTTATGTCAGATAAAAAGGATGAAGGCAGACATGTGATTTAACATGTGAGTAACATTAGAATTAAGAGTAAGTAATAAAATTTTAAAAAGTAATAAAATAATAAAATTATGATAAAGATGATATAAAAACATTTTAGAAATGTAAAAACAAAACACTGAAAGAGATCAAATCTATGTTTCAACTCGCAAGAAGGTAGCCACATGTCTCTTCCCATCCTTTTTATTTCATCCAACTCAGGCTTAATCATATCTGATCTTTCACTGCTTGGCTAATAGTTGTATATTCTGTTGTATACTTGATTTTTAATACATTTTAAATAATAAGAATTTCCTTGCCATTATGATGAAAAATTAAAGCCACAATGTTATGCAAAAATTAATAACTTAAGCATTAATAGTTAAATTAAATTTAATGCAATCCTTTGTACTGAGATTGCATCTCAGTTCAAAGGATTATTATTCAATATATATGTGAAAACCATTGAGGTTTAGGGCTAAAAACCAAAGTATTTAAGGAATAAAACCAAACTAATTTGATTAAAGTACAGTACAGTATAACAAAAGCTTTTTTAATGAAAGTGATAGGGCATTCTGTTGACACTCCAATATGTATATATATAAACTATAAAAATGATTTATGTAAGATACTATTTGTAAATGTTTGATTTTAAGTTTTCAAGTATTTACACCATACAACTCAACACATTTGTGCTCTATAATTTATAATTACCATGTGTCAATGCAATAAACTGAAAACTTAATCATTATTGAATCTATATATTCTTTATTCTTATGCTTTTAATGTTTGATTTTATAAATTTTGTAATTTTTTTTTATGCATTTGTTCATCATATTAAAATACAGTATTAAATCATTATATCTCTAACTGCATTACTATTTAAAAAACTCCACCATATCTTTAAAATGCAGTCTATTTTGCACACTTATCAAACGTTTTCGGTCAGATTCACAGACCTTCTTCAGGATCGAACGATCAGATTTCAAATTTGCAAAACGGAAGTTCCAAAATGAACGTTCTATAATCTTCTCAAATTGCGCATGCTCATTATTATAATTTTAATGTCGCCGCTTTCCATGCCGATGCAATATTTTGTTTGATTCACGGAAATTTATATTTTGCCCTTTTTCTTTGCACTTGTAAATGTGCCAGGCTTCTGCATACTTTAGATGTCTTCTATTTTCCACTTTTTGTATGACATCTGCCTTGCTCCATTTGATTTCGATCTCTGTTGGATCTGCGATCGCATAATTAGCCAAAGCCGTGATTGGTTGTTTAAATCTTACATTCTTTTCGTGCTCCTTCAATCTTTCATTTAACGATCTTTTAGTGGCTCCTATATAATATATCTCCTTATTCAGCCTCTTATCATACAACGGTATTCTGTATACACCTGGAATCAGCCTCCTGTCAACGGGTGTTTTGTCATTTCTTAGCATTTGGAATATTGTCGTGTTTCTCTTGTACGCTATTTTCTTGTTGCTTTCTATTCCTATTTTTCTGTAAATGTTACTTAACTGAGCCCTGTATTCCATTACGGTGAACTCCTTTTTCTCTCTTTTATCTTTTATTTTTATTGCCTTCTTTTTCTGCTCGTATTAAGGCTTTTATTTTATTCTCCTTAAGTCCTACATCTCTTGCTAGCTTTGCGACGTAAAAGAAGGCAATAAAAATAAAAGATAAAAGAGAGAAAAAGGAGTTCACCGTAATGGAATACAGGGCTCAGTTAAGTAACATTTACAGAAAAATAGGAATAGAAAGCAACAAGAAAATAGCGTACAAGAGAAACACGACAATATTCCAAATGCTAAGAAATGACAAAACACCCGTTGACAGGAGGCTGATTCCAGGTGTATACAGAATACCGTTGTATGATAAGAGGCTGAATAAGGAGATATATTATATAGGAGCCACTAAAAGATCGTTAAATGAAAGATTGAAGGAGCACGAAAAGAATGTAAGATTTAAACAACCAATCACGGCTTTGGCTAATTATGCGATCGCAGATCCAACAGAGATCGAAATCAAATGGAGCAAGGCAGATGTCATACAAAAAGTGGAAAATAGAAGACATCTAAAGTATGCAGAAGCCTGGCACATTTACAAGTGCAAAGAAAAAGGGCAAAATATAAATTTCCGTGAATCAAACAAAATATTGCATCGGCATGGAAAGCGGCGACATTAAAATTATAATAATGAGCATGCGCAATTTGAGAAGATTATAGAACGTTCATTTTGGAATTTCCGTTTTGCAAATTTGAAATCTGATCGTTCGATCCTGAAGAAGGTCTGTGAATCTGACCGAAAACGTTTGATAAGTGTGCAAAATAGACTGCATTTTAAAGGTATGGTGGAGTTTTTTAAACAGTATTAAATCTTTTTCAGATATAATACATATATTCAGTAAATCTCAAAGGCATAAATCTGTGTTAACATTGACATAATAGCAATTTAACTCTGTTATTATCTGTAATAGCAATTTTTCAAATGAAAATAAGTTTTATGTGAAGGAGCACTGATATTACAGTTTCTTTATAAATATATAATTCAATTATAAATTATTTTATTATTATTATTATGTGTATAGAAAGTTCTGGACAGACAAGAATATGAATTTGTTTTGGATCGTGCCTGTCTTCAATGTGATCCAGATGATCCTATTTATATAAGGGTATGATATTTTAATGTTAAAATATTTAAGATTATCTATACGTTTCTAAAATTTATGAATTATATTAGGTAACTCAAACAACATACAGGCATATTGACGAGATGAAAAAGTACGACGATCTAAGGTCCACCCGACACTTTGGTCCCATGGTGTTTTATTTTGCTATGAATAAACAAATTGATAATCTTTTACTATTTTTAATACAGAAAAATAGGTTAGTGTAGATTAAATTTTTTAAAAATTTTAAATTTAAACATTTGTTTCACATCAGTTATGAATAAATTTAGATTAGAAGATGCAGTCGAAATAATTAAGCTTTATTACATTATCCATCCTCGCTTGGAAAAATTCCCTGAAGATGATTATATAAATTATATACAGGTAATTATAAACCTGCTATGTCATTAAAATATAAAAACTTTTTAAAAGTGAAATTTCAACTAATCCTTTTTCAGAATTATATTGAATTTGATGCTAAGAAGAAGAATAACCTTCAATTAGCATTGCAAACATATGTTGAATTATATCACCACGTCTTAAAAGATAAAAATGCCATGTAAATTAAATAAATTTATTATTAAAATAAAAATACTTTGAAAAGAAACCTATGTAATGTCAGTTTGTATTGTAGCAATACAGAAAAACTTGGCTAAGTCACTGCGTTAACTCGAAGCTGTCAAAATGTCGTGGGACACAGTACATAGGGTTTTCCATAAAACAGTCTAAGTCGAAATTGCCAGTACTTTTAACTCTAACCTGCTTTCTCCTGTAACCTCCACCAGAGATGCAGATTATTCAGGATCCAAAACGTATGAAAAAATAACGAAAAACGAGCAATTATTTATTGTGACATCGACACAATGTGGGGATTCCAATTTTTTAGAGAATTCAGGAAAGTTCTAAGTGCAGTTTATTAATTAATTTGCAGATTTCCCGTGTATTTTAATTTGAGCCGACACAAAATTTTACCATTAAATAGTATCGAAAAGAGTTTTGAAAGAATGAATTTTTTCGGTTCTTTTAAGAGCTCTGTTTTGGTTTTTCGTAAAAATTAAAACTGGTTCGGTAAGCAAGACCGATTCGTCATTACTGCAAGCACAAACAGTAAGCGGGCAGCAACGTAACGGGTGACTGAACTGATTAAAAGCAAATCAAGTTCACTTGTAAAACATAAGATCCTCGCATTTTGGGCAATTTCTCCAATTAATATATATAGGCATGGCTCTTTTTTTTGCGGCTATTGCCATAATTTTATATCGAAAAGTTTCTCCCAATCTCGTTTGCAAGGTCAGACATATTCTGCACGTCTGCCCTTTATCCCCTGATCGGCGGTCTTCATTTTCACTTGTATGCGAATACAGACAATTAAGATAAATACTACGGCTCCATGTCAAACACAAGCCATTACAACCTTTCCTTTATGCCCTTTTACTGATTGTTACCGCCGTGTCTTTCTGATTAAGACACAAAGGGTCGCCAGGACACAAAACCACTATAAACTGTATAATTTGTAATCAATTTCCGAACGGACGCTGAAAAACGGCTAGATAACGGGAAATTTATGGGCATAGAAAAATTTTCATTCCTATCTGGTCTCGATTTAATTGGAATCATTCGTCCGACTTTGTGTTTTTTAAATTTATTTTTTCTTAGTTAACCTGATTACTCAAAATTAATCAAAAAGATCAAATAGTTCTACACTTATACAAATGTAGGCCTAATTAATAAATTTCTCCCTACAAAAAAAGTAAACCAGCAACGAGTTGCTCAACTTTTCAGGCAACATTTAAAATTTTCGTGGCACCATCTGTTATTTTACTTCATTAAACAAGTTTTATATTTTAACTGTTATAAAATGACAAAAACCTTCATTTTCAGAGAAGGGACGAGTTTTATAAGAAGTTTTAAATGCTAATAAGAAGTAAAATCGTCATTAATTTTCGACCCTGCTGAAGATACACACGACCTCCATTATCTTCTTATTCCCTCGACCTTTAACTAGCAAAGTTTATCATGATTAGAACAACTAAAACATAAATTTCCCTGCAAGATTTCAGAAATTTAAGTAAACGCAGGAGAGTTATAAAACTTCAAAAGGGTTAAGAAACTCATCTCCCCTCCCTTCACACACAAACACACACACTAACATTTACAAACAGATATTACCCCTGAATTTGTCTGCATTTCTGGACATTTCAAGGTTCGGAGTTCATAAACGTAAAAATCTTGGGGGAATCATTTTTGACCGATCGCCATACTTTCTGTTTGTTATATATAACAGCCAGAAAAGTCAAAATTNTGAGGTTGGGTTTTATAAAAAAAATTGTAAATGCTAATAAGAGTAAAATCGTCATTAAGTTGCCCTACTAGAGATACACACAACTCTCACTATCTCCCCATTCCGTCGACTTTTAATCACCAAAATTTAATGGTATCAATCAATATATGTATTATTTGCCTCCCTGCAAATTTTCAGAAATTTTCGACCAAAAGCACAGGCGTTATTAAGCTTCAAAGAGGGCGAAAAAATCGTGCACCAACACACACATTTATACATAGAGAAAAAACCCTGATTTTTTTTTCATTTCTCGACATTTCAAGGTGACCTGAGTCCAAAAATGTAAAAATCTTGGGGGGGTCATTTTTCGACCGATCGCTATACTTTCCTTTTGTTATATATAACAGCCGGGAAAGTAAAAGTCATATTTCTTTGAGAAGATAGTTCTGTTCATACCTGCTCAAGATGTACAATAATCTGCATAATGTGGAACAAGAAGTTTTCCGGTAACCGCTCGTTACATATTCAGCGCATATTGCAAAACATTTTATTAATTTTATGAACCGTGTGAGGACGAGTAGTTAAATTATTTTCCATCATATTTGTCAGCAATTTTTCATCGAATCCTTAAGACTTTTGGAATTTCTTACTTAAATTTTCAAATATAAATTCTTGTGTTAGGAATACGTTGTATTCACTGAATGATCACTGAATTAGGCAAGATCTTTAAACACAAGGTCTGGACACGATACCGTGATGCATTTCGGCAGTAGCCATTTAGACCCTTTGTGGTATCCAAATTCGCTCTAAAGCACCGTATTGGTTCCTTTGTGGTAATACCACAAGGGTTTACTTAAAAGCTTAACCGAACCAATCTCTAGCCGAGTACAGTGGAGACTATTACATCTAATATTACGAAGAAATCAAAGACAAATTTTTCCAGTTCAATGAGAGTGACTGAAAAGTATATTTTGGAAATTTCCGTGGACACCTGGTCCTAAAACGAATTAGTTAGAAAACAAACGACGGTCAATCTGTTAACTTTAACATATTTAGATTTTTAACAGCTATGGTGAGAAATGTTTAAAATGTGCAACAACCCTGTCGCGTCCTTTGAGGCATACGAGTGATGCGACAAAAGAGACATTTGACATTGACCGGTATCGGCACCCTCGGGATCTGGCAGTCGCGTGCCGTGCAACCTACTCTGATTCCATCCATTCGCCACTCGTGGGGAGATATTTGACTAAGTGGATTATTTTAAGATTTAAAAAGTAAAGAATATTTCATGTTATTTTTATGTACGTTTCTTTACAAAGCTATATTTAATTATAATTTTCTTTAAAAGAATATTCATACAATTGAAGAATATTTCGTACCAGGTATGTACATCCACCGCACATTTTACCAAGTAAGTTTCTATTATTATTTTATTTTTAATTGTAGCCCTTATATCGTGGCTAGCGATTCAGAATGTAATTGTGATATGAAAAATACATTTAGAAGTCTATGGGTTTTACTGGCTTATCGAACAAACGAATACGAATGGATCTTAGACGCGCAATTCACTGATTGCCATTGAAAGTCGGCTTCTTACAGAAACACAACTTCCCTGTCATCAAATGTCACGGCACACCACTGCGTTAGAGATATTACTAGTCTGACAATTGGAAAAAGAAACCTTCTCTTATAACTTTTTATACGCTCTCCAGCCTGACGAAATAGTCTGTCTCCTTGAAGTTAATTACCGTCCTTTTCCCGAAGGCTTTGTACATTTCTAACCTTTCAAGTTGTTGCAAGTATTTTCTCTCGATGGCGTCCTTTTCATTTCTAAGGAGTGTGGAAATTGTAGGGTTCTTTTAAAACCCTACAATTTTCTTACTCCTTAGAATTCTGTGCTTAGCCTATTACATCGGGCTATCTCCTTATAGATCGAACAGAGGGCCTTGTGTTATGTGACTACCACCAGCGGCGGCCTTATCCATTGCGAGGCCCTGGGCGGCAGATCTTTGCGAGGCCCTGGGCGGCAGAACTTTGCGAGGCCCTTGTCCTTTGTGCAAAGTATGTGAATTGAAATAGTAGGCACTTATTAATATTAATATATACTGTACTATAAATTAAATTTATTTTATTGTTATAACTAATAGCCAAGGATAAAATAAAAAGTTTTAAATATCAACTTTTTTCTACTTGGTTGTTGCGCGAGGCCCCTACAAGAGCGAGACCCCGGGCGATTGCCCTGCTCGCTACCCCCTAAGGCCGCTACTGACTACCACAACGTGTGATAGAACATTCGGAAAGGAAAGATATATACAAACTGTTCGGTATAAGGGCGGCATGAACATAGTCCACTTATATGTTACCGTAGGCCTATTATCGTACAGCGATTTTGCTAAATTGTAGAGGAAAAATTACCGTCAACTTTGATGTTATAAACAATGATGTAACGAAAAGACGACGTCATCTATGTTTAAATCAAAATATATTTTAAATTATCGTCATGTTACTGAACGCCGTTTACTGAAATCGTTTTAAAATGTTTTAATTGGCATAAATTTGAGCTTCTGTATAATTTTGAATAAAATGCATTTTATAAGCATAAAATGAAGCTGTCAAACTGAATTAGCTATATGGGAAACCCCCGTGAACTTTAGCCTATAGATCCGGAAGTTTCGCCAGCACTTCACTGATAACGAGAAAGGATTAAGTTTAAAATTTGAGCTTTCTGGACTCAGTGGTTTCTCTCTCTACGAGCGTCTGCAGTGCCGGATGAAAGAAAAAAACGAAGAAAATACCTTTATTTTGCAGATTTTTGCACTTTTCGAATGCTTATATTGCAGTAACCGCTTTATACAAAATCTTGAAACTACCTAAGAAAATAATTTTCCTTCGAACGAGACGGGATATTCGAAATTACCATAGGTTTTTGGGGGCGGAAAAATTGACCCCCGAAAATCGGAAACTCTAATTCCCGTATACGTTGTCAGTTAGTGACTTTTTTAGTAGCCGTCAGGGTCATTACCGTGACTCCTCATATAAGTCACTAGATTATTGGATCAAATTTCATCCGTTATTATTAAATACAGAGCATCCTCAATATATGTCATACTTAAGTTCCTAAAACGCGTCGTGAACGACATGGTGTACATCGAATATCAATTTCTCGCCGAAATAATATATTATGTGGCATTGCCGACCAACTAAAAACAATTTATGTGCAAGTGTCATAGCAAGGTGACGGCCGGATGTTTCAGCGATTAAGACTTCAGTCTACTGCTCTGACATCGAATTCGGGCTGTTGAGGAACCCAGGGCGGTCTG